TTATAATTTTGATGGATATCGACCGGATATCCAGTACTAGCAGTGCATCCAGCACTTCTTTTGCGTGCGGTAATCCTCGAAAGGATCTTGCCTCTCTCGACGTGTGCGGGATTATGCCATCTGCCTGCGACCTTTTTGTTCGGAAATCGAGATACGGAGTGAGAGACACGAACCAGCGTGGTGTTCTCGAGACGTCCATGTGCGTCGGCCAGCTGCCGCCGAGAAACACTCGCGATCGGCACGTACGTCGTGATTTCTACAACACTTCGTGGATCACGGGCGTGGTGTAACACGTCGGGGTGGATTACGCGAGTTCCCGCGGATCACCGTGGGCAATCGTGCGGACAATTCGCGTTAAGCAGAACGCGTTCGAGTCGCAGCAGGGCCGACAGTCAGTTTTGCGAGTCGGGTTTTGCAGCGCAATTGTCATCGCCCGCGTCATACCTAAGAATTTAATATGGAATAAATTGATGAGATAACAAGCGAGAATGAGAGAGGGAGAGACCTTGTGTTAATAAATCCGCTGTTTAAATCATAATATTAATTACTTCAATAATAAACTGATGATTTATTCATACACAGTCGTTCACTCGTGTTTGTATACCATCGCGGTAAAAGCCGTCCTAGATAGACGGGTGCACGTAAATTTGCCGGCAACTTCACTAGTCAATTCGGAAAAGTCGTGTCCCTTGTGAGCGGTTATGTGTTTGCAGTCGTGAAGTTTGACTCGTTGCAATCTTTTACGGCCCGATTCTATCGCTACTCGCGATCCGACTCTTGTTATGGAAAAATCAACGGTCGATTGATCGGAAAGTATACAAATAAAAGCCGCACGTAGTAGCTTCAGTGGACTGTGCGAATAAAAGCCGTTAGCTGATATTTGCTTACAGGCTCGCCGAGGCTTTCAATGAAAAATTCTCGCCTTTTTTTCGCGGCTCTCTCTCTCTCTCTCTCTCTCTCTCTTTCTTTCTCTTTACCCCCTTCTCTCTCTCTTTTCACATGACCTCCGTTCAAACACTCCAATTGTAAAAAAGAAAAAGGGTAGAGAAGAGAGAGGATGGGGACGGGGAAAGAGGGAAGGGGAAAAACTTGGCGAAAGTTAGTGCACGTGGGTCCAGTGCGCTACGCCCCCGCGGACGGCTACAGTTCGTGGCTTCCCTCTCCGGAGGATATGACGTCATCCCTTGCGCCGCCGGCGGCGATAAATGGAAAATAAAAGGAGAACCGCCCTTGCGCCCCTGTCCGAGCGGCCAGCACAGCCGCGGGAATAAATCACGATCGAATTGTTCCCCGTGTAAGAGGGGGATCCCCGACCCTGAACGTCATGCTGGTCCCCGCCGGAAATTAGAATAACGCGGGCAATGGGAGAGAGAGAGAGAGAGAGAGAGAGAGAGAGAGAGAAGGGTGAGGAGGAGAGCAGCAATGGAAACTGCGGCATCTTCCCTCGGGCTATATATGCGTATCATTGTGGAGAAGGGTGGAGTCCAACTACATCCATTTGTTATTAACTGCGATCGCGAATATGTAACAATCGCCAACTGAGCCGCAGGGAAATGCGTACAATTTTTGTCGGAAATATGGAACGCTTTTAACACTGCAAATGCGCGTGTTATTTTTAAACGCACAAGTGTGCGATTTGGCTGGAGGTCTTTTTACACGTTCCTTGCGGTTTTAAATCACACCATTTAACACATTTAAGAGAGGGAAAGAGAGACGTATGAATTATAGTTTAAGCTAGTCATATAAAATATAATTGTTGTGTAAACCACTCATAAGGGATGCAATCTTTAGTCGATTAAGTAACTTAAATCGACTTAAATCGACTAGTAACGTTATCACTATACTTACATACAGTTGTTTGTTTATAGTAACGAACTCTAATACGCTTTTTTGATACTGAAACTGGGAGCTTATTCGTTCTCACACAAGGGCAGTTTAATCTAGAATTAAGAGGGCATGTTTAACTTTCGTTAATCTTCCTAAATAACGCGCCTGCTCGCGTTATCTCTATCATAGATCTATGCTACAGTTTGAAATTAATCCAGTATATTGATCGTGCCTCTTAATCGTCAATTTTAGCGAGTTTAAACTTTTCGGTTTAAAGTGCTCCACATGAATTTTGCTAGGACGGCGGATGCAATTTGCGCAGAACGATGTTATTCAACCGCGTTTCGCGAAGCGCCAACGATATCGGGGTGTAACATCGCGCGCGGCATATTTCGCATCGGTGCGTGCGTGCGTGCGCGCTGAAGCTCGTCCGAACTGGCGAATGCCCTGATTTTCGTTTTTCCAAGTAATGAAGCCTAAAAGCGGAAACGCGGGCGCGACTGTCCGCGAAGCGATGTCCGTCGAAGCGATGTCAGATAAAGCGAAAAAAGTCAAATGTCAAATAAAACGTATTCAAATAAAAAAATTAGTTCCGTTACGTGCGCGTCGCGAAGTAGGTCGGCCAGATTTTCGCGCACTGCGCCGCGGCCGCACCCCCAGGATTTTCGAAAAATGCCTCCGACAACTGACGACGAGAACGAGGACGTAATTTCATTTCGCGTCAAATCTCTATTGGTCCTTTCGCCCATTCACTTCGACCCGCCGGCGTTTGGCGCTCTACAGGGTGGTCCGTCATTACGGGACGTCTTCCCAACCGCACGCAATCCCGGGATAGATGCACAGAATGAACGGACATTCTCATTTGGAAAGTGCCTTTCGCCTTGTTAATCTTCAAGGGAGATCACACAGCGTTGGAACGTATTACTACTTATTATAAGTTATTACTACTTTCACTACTTATTACTACTTATTACTACTTATTATAACTTATTACTACTTATTATAACTTAAAAGCGAGAACATATTTCATGCGTTTCAACAAAGAAAAAACACTATTGGCATAATTTAATTGATCAAAGACAATATACTCGCTTTGTAAGTGCAATCTAAAGAATTGTACAATTTCTGTCGTTGATTGTCTCACGTTGTGATAATCGTGGAAGTCTATCTGGAGAAGTCGTCGTCTTCCCATTAATTTCAATCGAATTTTACATTAAAAGCATTTAATTTAAAAAGAAGATTTATTATTATAGATATATATATTTATTTGAGCACGATTTTGTCAGTGAAATAATCACTCTTTACGTAAAAAGTTCTCCATATACTAAGAAAAAAATGTTTTGAAATTGTATGAAATATAAAGTTTATTCGCAGAAATGAAATTTATTTTACGGGAATAAACTTCATTTCGCAAAATATACTTTGCTTAAATATACAGTTTGCTTCACGGAAACAAACTTCATATTCCATAAATCAACTTCCAAGTGTCTTTTCTCAGTGCAGACTTGGAGATAATCACCGGTTATTATTACTGATAAAAATTTATTTTTCTTTTAATCAAGAGATTGCGGGAAAAATTGCATAATTATCGGTCTTCCAACAAATTGTAATTAGAATCATAGATGTTTACGAAGAGAAGCTCCAGCCTCACACTCGCTCCTAACTTGTGAGAGAGCATCGAGACGTACCGAGACACCCCGTACAGTCATCAGCCAAGTTTATCCGCAGGCACGGTCCCGAAAACTCATTTCCACCGTTGGTGGTAACGCTTCGTTAGCGGCGACGTTGCAGCTATACAGGGTGTCCGTTTCATGGTAGCCCCCTTTATTTGCTAAACAGTTGGTCGCGGGATAAATTTTTTTTTCGTCTTTAGACTGGATTCTCGACTGCAGCTGTCGAATGAATATTTTTATTTCGCGAAAAATTATCTTATCCAGCCGACAGGGTCGTTTCCAGCACTGGAAAAAAACAACAACGCTTTCGTAGCGTGGCGAACGCTGAACATATGTGAAATTGAATGATGGATCGCGTTTATTGACGCTCTAAGGTGTATCCAAAAGTGTTACAGAAAATTATATAAGTTACATAATATAAAGATTTAGAGAATGAAAAAGAAACATGAAAACGGTGTTTTAATGAAAACATTTAGACGTTCTAACCTGAATATTGTTACATTGAAAAAAGATATTTGAAAATTTATTTGTTTAAGATACTTGAAAATTTATTTGTGGGGGGTTCATTTTACACACAAATTTTATTTACATAAATTTTATTCCACAGAGATAAATTCTATTTCACAAAAATAAACTTAGAAAATATTTTTCCTCAGTGTGGTTTACACAAGTATTGTCAGTTTCCTTTATTTAACTCTAGAACCTTAGACATGAGTAAAATTTACCCAGACCAACTTTTCAAACGTTACTGTTTTTAAAAACACGTATATTGGTTTTTCTTTATAACTTTTTTCAATTTTATTGACTATAAAAATATTAACAGATCCATACGCCTCGAAGTTTTCTGCGTCGCTAATTTTCCCAGAAGTTAATGAGCGAGTGAGGATGCGCTGGATAAAATTGACCCCTGTTTAGAGTTTCTGTAGCTTTTTGATGTTTAGGGTTCTAAGGTTAATATTTAAGCACAAGTGATAAGTGCGTCTGTGTTAGTTTCGCGTTAAAGAGATCGGTTGCAAGGTGGTGCTTAAACGTACGTAGATCGGTAGAGAGTTCTCGCTTGAAAGTAGTCGGTGAACTTTTTTAACTTTTGCGGAAAATCGACGGAGATTATTCGAGAGCGCGTCCGGGGAGAACGTGCGGAGAAATTTAATACACGGTAGGCGATTAATAAACTGTGTTCCGAGTTCGAAATGCCGAGGATAAAACCAGCGGCGTCGCGAAACGCTTTGAGGCGAAACGAACGCGGAGTGCCGTGGCGTTTCTGTTGGAATGGCCTAGATCGCGCAGACTCGAACAACTCGCAGTCGGAAAACAAGCGGGATACTTTTACATTTATACTTTTACATTTTGTTTCTTGTTCGACGTGCCGAAACTACGCCTCGCGCTTTCGGCACGGGAGTTGGGAAGTGTTTCTCCAGAATGCGTGCGTATGTGTGTGTGTACGTGTATGTATGTATGTATATACGTAGCAACTCACGGTTCCCGTCGTTTGTGTTTCAGGTCCGCCAGGTCCAGTCGGCAAGAGGGGCAAGAAAGGGAAAAAGGGCGATCCCGGGGAACCCGGCGCGCCGGTGAGTACTCTCCGTGCCGATGCTCGGTATCGCCCCGGCACGCCGTATACATATATATATATATATATATATATATATATATATATATAATTACATCGTACATATACACCCTCCGGTATATATATAGAGTAGTGTGCACCCCGATATACATCGCACGTGCAGTTGAGTGTGTGCGCGAGTGTGTTTATTAGGGAGTTGTGTAGCAGCAGCTCCGTGCATGAAGTAGTAGTTTAACGGTATATACCCGATACATACATACACACAATATACCTGTACGTCCCCCTCTCTGGACGCGAGACCGACGACGAGTACACGTGGCGGGCTAACGTAAGCACGCGCATCCGCACACGCACGCACGTGGTGCGGGGAACATTGAGGTCGTGTCTGTGAAAACGGTCTGACCGGCTCGAGATTTCAACGACGAGCCGAGTGCTGTCCTGCGTCAAGGCTCGCAAATAGCGGGAGAAACTTGAGAGGGAAATTACGGATTGATTTATATATTTATATTGCGTCTAAAAGTGACGCGAGCGCATCGATTCAAATCTTGGATCCCACTTTGGAAAGAGCCCACGCATAGAAAAATACACACTGCACTCGCGTGGACGTCACCGTGGACGTTTAGAGATATTATTCGATCAAATTTTACGAAACTGGGACTTGGACTATTTTCACGGCTGCGACTTCGATCGAATCGACGATTTTGGCGTCGTGTATTCGCGTTATACAGAGGCAAGCTCGGGACAATCAGTCAGGAAAGACCTCGTAATTTTTCCTCGACCATCCCTCGCGAAGAAATATCGGCCGAATCGGCAGCCGACCGTGAGATATAATAACGGCATAATGCCGTCGCCTGCGGGGCGCGCAAGGGGCGTAATTAATTAGCAACAAAGTTAGCCGCATTCTGATCCCATTATCAAGCCCGAGCCAGTAATTACCTCCCAAAATTAGTAATTTATAGTTCCGTAATTATACCGACGCGGAGTTTTTTTCATTATGCATCGGCTTAATTAAACCCCGGAATGGGAAATTATCGGTCGTAAATATATGTAGATCAGGCTCGACTTTCTTTTTTATCCCCGGGATTCGGCTCGGGATTTTCATCTTCCGCGAGCCACCCCGGCCGCCGCCAGCGTCGTGGGTGTTCTTCTCTCCGGGGGGGCGCGATCGGACTTCCCTTCGCGATCGGCGATATCGAGCGCTCGCGCACGCGCGCGCACCCGTCGGTCGCGCGCGTAATCTCGAGGATCGGATCGGCGGAACACCGGGAGAACGCGGAGGGAGACTCGCGTACCGTGAGGGGGGGGGAGGGGGGAGTGCGCTCGGGGCGAGCCCGTGTGCGTGCGCGCGTGCTTATACGCCCGTGGAATATCTAATTGGCCGGAATAATTATCGGTCGCGCGGCGTGTGTACGCGGGTCCTCTTTTAGCGTATAGCGGGCCCGACGAATACACACGGAGGAGGGCTGATAATATCGCGGGCACGATCGGCCCGCGGAATAATCGCTTTTGCATGCGCGCGAGAGAGTACTCTGTAGTCCGACTACCCCC